AAGCATGAGCAAAGGCCACCCAAAGTACCAGCTACTGTCCCCCTCAAGGATGCAGAGGCAGGGAGCATGCTGGAGTGGAGGGCGTGGAAAGTGGGACCCATCCCCATCTGCAGGAGCTGCTCAACCCCAGCCTGAGCCCTGAGAGCCCCAGCCCAAGGGAGCAATTCTTTGGCCTCTCCCCAGCCTGGGCACCAGCCCCGTGTCCCAGCCATCATGGGCTCCGTCATCCTCTTCAGCCACCAGTGCCCCTCCTCAGGAGCAGCATCTTCAGTGACTTCCCTCTGCCTTCCTCTTTCCAGGTGTACCCTGGACCCACCTGGAGGAACAGGCCACCTGGAGCCAACTCAGACCCCGGGAGAGCGTGGGCTCGGTGCTCCTCCTGCTGGTTCTCTTTCCAGTGGGCACCTCCTATTATGGGTTGAGCTATCGGGGGCTGCCCAGCCCGGAGGAGCAGCCCTTGGACTGATGCCCGGGACACATGTTGTCCAGGGGGATTGTTTTCCCTCCTGGGTGCGCTCTTTCTCACTGGCGGCTCCTCCTTGGCTTCTGCGAGCTAATCAGGGAGAAGGAGGGGGAGGAGGGGGACGCTGCTTGCCTTCCCCGTTATCTGCAGCAATCCACGGTGACTAATGCTCCCAGTTGGTAAAAAGGCAGTGTAATCAAAACACTTTTTTTTTAGTCCTTAAAGTTAGTCATTCTCCCAGAGTGGAGGAAAAAAAAGCCCACAGCAGGCACCATGAAATGCAAGCTGAGAGGCTCCTGCTGCGGGTGGAACTAAAGCATTGGCCATGGGAGCTCCCTGTGGGTCTGAGGCTTGGGCCTTCTTCCTCCCGGCCCTTGGCTAGCCTTCCTGCACACCCTCCTTTGTTCTTGCTTTCCTCGACATCTGGGCTGTCTGATCCCTGAAGGACTTGCCTGCCAAGTCCAGAATCTGCCCTTTTCTCTCACCCTGCCAGGTGCTGCCACCTGCTGGTCCTGAGCTCGCCAGCCAACCGGGAGGAAGCATATAAAAGCTCCCAGGATGAGGCCGAGCCCTGAATCCCTCTAGGTGCCTGGTCTCATGCTGGTCCGTCCTCCAGCCCCAACACAGCCATTCAGTGTTCGTGCTGCTCCTTTCCACTTGGCCTCGACAGAACTATAGGCTGTCTACAGAAGTAGGAATTTCAGGAGTCAGCAGTAAGAGGGTGGTGCACTACCGTGGCAAAAAACGTAAGGCTCAGGGCCAGGGAGCCCAGGTGGGAGAATTCCATCTCCCTACTTACCAGCTATGCTTTGTGCTGATCACAATAATAGGACCGATTTCATAGCGTCATTGCAAACAATGGAGCCACTTAGAACAGTGCCTGGCATATTGTGAGTGCTCAGTTATTAACTCATAATAAAAATAATAACAATGACTCAATAATAAAGTAGAATGTACCTCCTTAGTCATCCAAGGCAGACATTGCTAATCAATTGCAGAACTTCCCCACCAATGGCAGATTCCCCAGAATCCTCACTATGGCACTCCAGGCAGCCAGGAACAAGCAATTCGAGATGGCAAGTGGGATGGCACCCATTTGCCATGCCAGATCTAACCCAGACTCTTTATGTTACAGTCAAGAAAAATGAGGCCCCAAAGAGGGAAGAGACTCCCGCAAGCTACTTGGAGACAGAGCCAGGGTCCAGACAGCTATTCCTGGCCCGACTGCTTAGCTAGCCCAGCCTCTGACTGGCCACTTTACCCTGATGTTCGAGCCATTGAGTTGTGTTTCCCACCACTGGAAACTTTTACCCACATATCCTCTATCTTCTCCTACCCTTGCTCCTCTCTCGTGACCTTGGCCCATGGCTGCTCAGGGAACCCTGTTGTTCTGGGGCATCTTGCTGAGTAGACACAGAGCAGAAGGAAGTGGGTAGTGAAACCATATAGAAACGTGAGGGTCTCGGTCTGAATTTATGCTGCAGGAGCCTCCTGGGGCACAAAGACCTTCAGGGCTGCAAAGGAACTCAGCCCATCAATTCGGCCCCTAACAGTCAGTCCCTTCAGTCTCAGCCCTTACACTGTAATGAAGTCCCTAATGACCCAGCTCCAGTTCTGGAATCCTGGCTCTTAGCTGATTAGAGGCTGGCATGGTGAAAGAATCAGAGGGTCAGCCCTAGACCTCTGTGTGGGGAGGGCATATAGGACAAGCCCAGAGAGGAGGGTCAGTGGGGAGCACCTGCTTACCAATTTCCGAGTAGAGGTGAGGGATGTAGTGGCTGAACGGGTTCTTTGGCTGCTTGCCCTCTGGTACAGAACTTTGCCCAAGCAGATCTCTGCCACCTGAACACTCTGAACTTCAGGCTCAGACTCTGGGGGAGGAAGCAGTATTCACCAGGCTTGCATCCAGGAGCATCCACCTCGGTCTGAAGCTTCTCCACTCCCAGCTTCCACATAGAAGCTGAATTTGCTCCTCTTCCAGCTCTCCCCTGAAGGGGCAGGATCAACCTGACCTGCACGGTGTTGTCCTTTGGTTCCCAGAAGAAAGACGTAGCTCCCAACCGTGGGTCTAGAGACCCTGCAGTTGAGTTTTCTATGACAGTGGGAGGTGTTTATGCTTCCACGTGTTCAGCTCCCCAGGAATCAATGTGACATGGCATGTCATGTTCATGGAGGGAAGCTTGGGGGTCCATAGGACAGCAGGGTGCCTGGCCATCCATCCTCAGCCTGGCACATCTCAAGCTGAGCAAATGAGCCACAGAGAAGGAGTCAGAGCAGGGCACTTTCCAGACAGACTCCAAGAAGGCCAGAATTCTTTCCAGGACCCTCAGAGTTCCTGCTGGCCACATTAAAGAGCCAGGGTTGAAGGTAAGCAGCACAGCCCTAGTTGGGCCTGAGGCTGAATCCTTCCCTCTCCCTTCCCTCCCATCCCACCCCACCCTGAGATGTCACTGTTTCCTCAGAGCTGCTCACTTCTCTCAGCTTGCCTTTCTGTTCAGACCCCATCCCACAGGCCTCCCCTATATTCCTATTTCCTGAGGACCTCTTCAGTCAACAAGACAGTCAACTTAAAACCTCAAAGTGTTGGCAACTTTGGTGATATTATCCATCCACTCATCTTCTGGACAAGGGGGCCAAGGCTCAGAGAGGGGATGTGACTTCCTGAGGTCAGTCCTAGTGTCAAAGATGGAACCAGAGCTCAGGACTCCTCCAGACTCCTAATCCAGAGCTCATCATTCTTGTCCTATGGGATGTGTCTGCTACCCCCAGCCCTGAAACAGACTTCCCCTGGGATATGGTGGTTGCCTAGGCTGATACTTTTGGAAATTCTTTAGCACTTTGGGGCAATAACTAAGGGACACAGAGCATGGGAAAAGGAAGAAGCAGGTGGGAGAGCCATCTACAGTTGTTAAAATACCAGAAGGTTCAAAAACCACAGCACCCCTCATCCACCTACCACACCTTGAACAAAGCAGCAAGGACTGTCCCTCCCTTTCCCTACTCTCTGTCCAGGCTGCCCTTTGGTGACTTCTCCTCCTCTTTATTCTTCAGGCTGCTCTAGTGCTCATTTTGGCCTGTTTCCTGAGGAATAACATGGTGATGAAGCTGATGTGTGGAATGCACTTGGGGGCCCATCCTCTACTGGAAAACCTCTGTTGAGTCAAACACTAGACTCTCAACAATGGAAACAGAAAACACAAACGAGAGATCATCTCCTGTGGATGATCCTGAGGCCCCCTACTCCTTCTGACCAAGCACCTACTCTCCCCTGGGAACTCAGAACAAGTAATGCACATCTTCTGTTCAGTGGCTTAGCTGCTCTCCAAATGACCCTAAAACACTTGAGATCCATTTGAAGGAGAATCCCAGAGAGAGGGCCCTTGTGGGCCCAGCAGTTACCTGCACAGGTCCCGCTGCTTGCTTTTCTCTTCTAAGGTAGGGAGGTTTTGGGGGGTGAGGAGACCAACACGGCCCAAGGCCCCAGGCAGCTTATGAGGCACTAAGGCCCTGAATTCTGACTTTCAGGAGACCCAGAGTGAGCTGCTTGTCCGGAACTCAGTACCCTTCTCAGCTAAAACAGGTTTCCTGTGCCTGGACTCTCTCCAGCCCTCATCTCGGATTAAACTGGCTAGCCTGAGTTGCCTCCAGGACTTGGCTTACACATTGGCTTCTCCAAGAAGCCCTCACTAAAACTCGTGAGCAGCTTGCAGGAGCCCCTTCTAGGCAGCCACCGGACCCTGTCCTTCCCCATCATATGTGGTTACTTAGTTGCCAGTTACCTCTCCCTCCAGGTAACTAGGTCTGGGAGGGAGTAAGGGCAGGATCCATACTTCTTTTTCAGGGTTGTAGCCTTAAGGTTAGCACAGTGACTGGCGCATTGCAGGAACTCTGTGAATATTTGTTAAATGAGTAAAAAGAATGGGACCGTTCACATCATTTGGGTTCTGTAAAGGGGAGCAGAGGAAAGGACTGCGAGACATGGAGCAACACTTACTCTTTGCTCTCTTTCCTTGGGTAAATCTACAGAACATTGCCAACCCAAAAAGCACCTCATATTCAGAGCCTTGTGCCATCTTGAAGAAGCGAACAGATCCATTTGTGTCTTTGTAACAGGTAAGGCATGTACAGGGTACACAATTTAAAAGATACAAAAGACCATACGGTGAATGTAAATCCCGCCCACTGGCTCCCCAACTGGCTCCTTCCCCCATCGACAAGGACTGCTACTGTCTCTGGATTAGAAATTTCTTCACAGACAAAAACTGAGGCCATAACAAGGTTAAGAGGCACGTGTAGTAAGCGAATGAGAATTTTACAAGTCAGTATCTCAGGCAGAAAACGCACCCGGGGGTCCCCACGCCGCCGCCACAGGCTGAGGCCAGAGCCCCTAAGGGCACGCGCGAGGTCACGAGCCCGGGCAACTGCGCTGGACGCCCGCCGCCGCGGAAGGGTTAACGCCCCGGGCCCCGCCCACCCCCGCCTCTTCCGGGCACAGGGGGCGGGGTTTACGTCACTTCCTGGAGACTGGCTGAATCCGGAAGTGATCCCTGAGGACCCAGTTGCGGCCGAGGAACCCGGCGGCAGGGCCAGGTTCGGGACCATGAGCTGGTGAGTGAGGCCCGGGCGGCAGAGCGCCTTGCCCGCGCCCACCTGAGTCCCTTCGCCCGCGCTGCCCGCCCTGCCCGCACGGACCCTCCGCCCTTGGTCGTTCGAGGGCCCTTGCACCGGTCTTTCCGGGAGGCTCCGTCTCTCGGCAGGACTCACTGGGAGATGGGGCGGGGGAATCCTCTTGGCCTGGGATCCCGCGTCTGTTTCCTGACTCCTTCTGTTACATGGAACCTGTCCCGTCTTCTCCCAGCTGCTTGGAGTGAGGAAGTTTCCTGTTTCCTCCTCTTGTAAATATTCGTTGAGGTGGAGTAAAATGCCTTCTTTCTCCCCTGTGGACATCTCTCCACGGCTCCCGTAGCCCCAGAGCTGTAGTCCTCACTCTGGGGGCCCAGTTCACTGATCAAAAACCCACTCGCTTTCACTTAACAGTCTTCAAAAGACAGAACTTGCTTCCCTTTTGGAAGGGTCCAGAATTGAAAACCCACACCCACACTCCTAGTGTGGGATTGAACTCGTTTTAATCATTTACAGGGCCATTACCCACTCACTGTTTTCTCTTGAACATAGACATAGGTAAGCTTAAACACTGTGGGAGCTAGCAGGCCATGAGACAAGACGGTAAGGCGTCTCAGAGTAGTGGAGTCACAGCTCCAGGGTTGAAAGGTATGTTGCTATATGATGCCCATAATAGATGAAGGCTCATAGTAGAGACTTCTTATAATATATAATGGTTGATTTGTTTTGTAAGACTCGGTTTGCCCAAAGGGCCTTACCTTCAGGCCCAAGGACCTGCGTATCCACAACCCCAAACCTCCGGGGGTCCAGCTATCATTTGCTTATGTGAATACAATGACCCCCAGAGATGTACAAGATGGATCAAACCTCTTGGAATCCAAGGTCCGTTAGCATAGGGACCGTGTTTGCCACTCTTCCTCATAGTCTAGCCTGTTTCTTTACACAAAGTAAATGCACGATAACTGGTCATAAATGAATGAAGATAGTCGAATATCCTTCAGGAAGGCTCTCGCAGGCTCACATTTGACCATTAATGGAAACTACGCTCTGGCCACAAGCAACGAATGTCAGCCAGTGTTAAGGACAATTCTCTAATGTAAAATGTAGACCATTTCTGTCCCCTCCTCCCTCCTGCTTCTTAGAGAAAGATTGATGGACAAATGTCACACAGTTGGTGCCAGCACGTGAGGAAGCCGGGAGCAATGCCCTAATAAGCCCCGGCAGGAGCTGCTCCTTTCCCCTCCATCTTCGCTCCAGGAGGCCGATAGGGGGCTAGAGCCTTAAAAAGCTAACTTTCCCATCTTGTTATAACCTAGTTAGTGATGAACAAAGTGGCAATCCTTCAATTCCCTTTCCTAGAGGAATTACTTCCTTAAAGTGTCAGCCTGGGTCCCCCGACCTTGTGATATAGATGTCCTCTTGCCAGCCGCATCTGGAATCTTTGGAGTTCTCTTGCTTAATTTTTCAGGGTAAAAACCAGGAAGTACAAATGCGTTGTATTGCTTAGATTGGCATTTACAATTTTAAAAATCAATCTTTTCTTCACAAAGCGGGAGAAGAACAGAGCAGAGCCCAGGGTAAAAGAATCTCTTGGTGATCTGAAGCATGCTGTTTCCACCTGTCTGGAGGAAGGCTTTTTTTCTGAAAAAGTAATAGCCTGTTTCCTAAGGCCTGTCAGGTTGCAGAGAATTGAAATTGACAACTGCCTGTTCAGCAAAAGCTGAGATTTTTATCCTGCAGAATTAACTTACTAGTACATGTGCCGCTTGGCACCTCCTTGGAGTGAGGGTCAGAACCAAAAGGGTGGCTTTGTCCCTCAAAGCTGAGATTCCTTTTTCTTCCTCTTTAGAGGGCCTCTACGTCATCTCTTACGTGGACCCTGACCCTGTCTCCCTGAGAGGGGAACAGCACTGGCGCCTGGGCACACAATCACACTCAGTTCCAGACTCAATGGCTGGCAAAGGGAGCGGGGCTGGGTCCTTCTGATTCACTCCTGGAGTGGTTTTCCTGCTCCCAGAATGAATCCATCCATTCATCCGAGTCTGGAATTCTCAGTGGGGGAAGAGACCAGAGTGACGTAGGGCCATCATAGGAGGCCGATGCCCAAGGTCAAGTTCACCAAGCACATGGGGTATGCCAGCCATCATTGAATAAGGCCTAGGGGCATGCAGCCCATGGTCCCCAGAGGGTAACCATTGTTCTGGGCTAGGCTAGGCTTTCAAAATGTCACAGTGAGAAATGTCCAGTATTGATGCCCTTTGCACACTGTGGACTGCATTTGCATGAAGAGTGAGAGGTCTTTGTTCCCTGCTTCCTCTGTGCATGCAGCCCACCCACCCCCTGTTTGTTTAGTGGGTACCTGCTGCCTTCCTGTACCATCTACCCATCCATTCATCCACCAACCACCCACGTGTCTTCTTGCCAGGTGGTCCAGTGGTGTGCCCTGCTAGGAAGAAGGCGTTTGATGTTCACATCTCAGGTCACTGATCTACTGTTTGGGCCTAAGTCAAACGCTTCCTTCTCCTCTCCTGCTTGTCTCCCCCTCTCTCTTCTTGTGGCTGTGTCATTGTTATTGTATGGAGGGAGAGTTCAGTAGAATTAAGAATATAATTTGCTTTTTCAATCTGGCTTAGCTCTCTCTAGGGATTGTAGCCTTCCCTGGAACCACACACCTTGATGCTCTTAGGCTTAAGTGACAAGGAAAAAGGAGTCCTGTAGGAAATCTTCCTCTATTAGGGGTCCAGAAGTTTGACTCAGAACGAAGGAAATTAGGGTCTGTGCAGAGAAATGTGGCTGGGAGCTCGAGGGGTGAGCTCAGGTTCTGGTTCCCTCCTTCACAGGGTGGCCTGGGCAGGCGTTCAGGCTTCCTCTGTCTTGTTTTCGCCACCTGTGACATGCAGTGGATAATCCTGGCTGACGCTGTGCCACCCAAGCCTATTGTGAAAAAAATGGAGACTGTGATCGTTTTCTGACTCTTCTGGGCTCTTCTACCTCTCTCTGCCCCCTTAAATATTGATACTCCTTGGAATCCATCCGCCCCCATCCCACCCCCATGTTCTCACCCTGTATGCCCTCCCCATCATCTTCAGGATAAAGGCCTGACTCTGCATGGCTTATAAGGCCCTCCTGGACCTGGCTGTCCATCTTTCCTCCTGTGTCTAAGCTTTTCCTGGCCTCTGGTGCCTCTGCCCCTCTATATGCACTGTTCTTCTGCCTGAAATGCCCTTCACTCCTGTGTCGTCCGCCAGGCCGACGTATACTCATCCTTCCAGAGTCGGACAGGCTTCACCTCTTCTGAGGGTCTTCCCTGAACAGCCCCCCACACCCTGCCAAGCTGACTTGGGTGCCCCTCTTCTGACCCTCATTAGCATCTGTACTTGATTTGTTGGTTTACTTGTCAGTAACCCCACCAGTCTGTGCATGATCGAGAAAGGGACTGTGTCTTGGTCACCACTGTATCCCTAGCAGTGTCCCCAGCCGTCGGTACATGTTTATTGGATGTATGAGTGAGCACTATTTTTCCATTTCCTGACTTGCCTTAGCTCAGGAAAACTTTTCAGATAAAAACGTGCGGAACTTATAGGCCGCTTCCTGAAATGAAGAGCCTCTAAGAGTGCTGTCATTAAGTCAATGAGGGAAGAAGCGGCTTCAGAGCCTCTCAGAGACTGAGTGTTCTCTCCCCTCTGTCCCTGTCCCCAAACTGCCCTCTTCCATACTTGCATAGAACTCCTGTAGTACCTCCACATCCTTCCAAGGACCACAAACGTGTTCCTCTCCCTCACAGACTGCGTGAGGGCAGGATCTACAACTTCTTCACCTTTGTGTTGTGTCTACTGTTTGCACATAGTAGGTACCTAATCGGTAAGTGTCAAATGAAAGGAATGGACTATAAAGAAAGGAAGGTTAACTGCTGACCAAACCACCCATTCTGTTTCACACATGTTCTCGGTGGAGTCTCTTTTCCCTCTAGTGTGATCCTTGCCATCGTACATTTGTACAGTGCTTTTAACTTTTCAAATTACTTTCCCCTCCATTATCTGATTTCGTCCTCACGTGTACCCTCGGAAGTATGCAGTGAATTCACTCACGGAGTACCTAGCAGAGCCAGAACTAAAATCTGCATCTCCTGAGTATTCTCTGTGCTTGAACAGAAACATTAGAAAAATGGCAGACCAAGGGCGCCTGGCTGGGAAGTGGGAAGAGCACGTGACTCTTGATCTCGGGGTCCTGAGTTGGGTGTAGAGATTATGAAAAAAAAAAAACAATGGAAGACCATTCCCAAGCTGATTTGGCCCCAAAGGAAGGTATTGGGCTTTGCCAGCACGTGTGAACACTGCCGGGGTGGTAGTGAATTACAAGAAGCTGCCAGTTTTCACACTTAACGCAGTAGAGGAAATCCCGTGTCGTGCACACGTCCGGGTGTTCTGGACCATCTCAGCTTCTTACTCTGGGGCCTCTCTGCCTCGAGCAGCCTTCCCCCTCACTTCTTTGGACAGGCCAGACTCTCCCCAAGTTGTTTCCTCTTCTTTGGAGAGCAGGGTGGTGCCCAGAAGACGGACCCTTTGAGGAGCCCGTGTGATTCTCTAGTTGACATTGCTTTGGGCACCAGTGTAAAACATCTCACTCCTGTTTCAGCTGTTCGTAATGAGAGGGGAAGGGACTTTTTCCACTTTTGGAAAGAGCCACGTATCCTGAATCCCACAGCTTCTTCGTCAAAGATGTTTTCTTCCGTGTTGTACTCTTTATGTACATGTGTTGGGGTAGCTTCAGGGTTGGCAGGTAAGCTATTAGAGTTGCTTCCCCGAACCCATTATTTCAGTGGTTAACCCATTTAAATAGGGCCCACTACGACATGTTGCACACAGGTCGTGCTCAATGACTATTTGTGGATTTAATACTCAGTGAACATTTCTACTGTACAAGAGCCTGTGCTACATGTTGGGGGACATTCCAAAGGCTGTAGGAACCAATGCCTGTCTTCAGCC